CTTCCCAACTGTGAATTGCTCACTTGGGATCCATCCCCTGTTTCCAACCCAATCCCAACCATGAATTTCTCCCCTGGGATCCATCCCCTCTTCCCCGGGAACAGCTGAATCCTCAGAATGATCTCTGAAGGACTCCAGGGTGTTTTTCCCAATCTCAGCCCCTTTTCCTTCGGGATTTCAGCCTCTCCTCGAGCTCAGCTCCCCACGTGCTCCCGGTTCCCGACACCATTCCCGCTCCCAACCGCAGGAAACATCCAGGGCGCGCCCGGAGCAGGACGCTCCRGCTCTCCCACCCTTTTCCTGGGTGTTCCCACCAAAATTAGGGGAGCCCCCAGCACCCAGCACCGCTCCCCGACCCCGCGCTCGGCAGCGGGGKGCTCCGGAACATCCCTGCCCGGTGGGAGCATCCCCGGGAGCATCCCCGGCACCGGCCCGCACGTTCCCGGCTGGCATCGCCGCGCTGAGCAAACAGGAAACACTCGCCCTTTGTTAATCCCGGCCCGGGCTGMGCGTTAAATATTTATCTGTGAGCGGAGGCTGGTGCTGGGAGCCGCGGGGAGGGAGGGACCGAGGCCGGGCCGGCGCTGGAGGCTCCGCTCCGGGCACGGGGAAGGTGAGTGGGGGGCGCGGGCGGGGGGTGTTGGCACCCCAGGGTGGGCTGCGGGGAAGGGGGGGTGCTCCTCGCATCGCCAAAGGGTGCTGCGACATCCCGAGGTGTCATTTGGTGGCCCGGAGGGGACCCGGAGAGGACCTGGAGGGGACCCGGAGAGGACCTGGAGGGGACCTGGAAGGGACCGTCACTCCTTGGCAGCGATGATGGGGTCTGGGGTCCCCTGGCAGGGTTTAACCCTTCCCAGCCCTGCTGCCCTCCCTGTCCTTGTCACCCCGGGATTTTCCAGCCCCTGTCCCCAGCCCGTGTCCCGCTCACGCTGTCCCCAGCTGGCACCCCGTTCCCATGGCATTTGGGGTGGGCGCTGCGTTCCTCAGGGCCGTGAGAGGGGGGAGGACACCCGACCTTGTCCCCCGTGTCCCCTGTGTCCCCCGTGTCCCCCGGGCACAGCCAGACAGGGCTCCTGCCGTTGTCCCCTCGTCCCCGGCAGCAGGGAAGGGTAGCTTGGTGGGGACTGAGGGGTGGCAGCGACGCCGCCGTCCCCCGGGAGCTCACGTGGGAGCGCRCGGGATGAGGAAGGGCTGGGGCAGCCCCGTTCTGGGGGTGTCAGCAGTTTTGGGGAGCAGGAAGCGGCCGGCGGGTGAGTGGTGGGTGCGGGAGCCGCCCGAGGGGGGACGGGGGGCACCCCAGAGCCGGGCAGGGGGGGTTCCATGGGGGTTCCCATGCCCGGATTCCTGAGGGATGGGGGGATGGRGGGATGGAGAGGTCACAGCCCCACTGTGACCCCCACACCAGGGCTYGGGTGGGCGCAGCAGCACAGATCCCACTCCCCATTTCGGTCCTCACCTTCTTTCAGCATTTCTCTCCCCATCCTCTCCCAAAAATCCTCCCCAAATCCATTTCTCCATCGGGTGGGGATCTGGTGACGCTGGAGGGGGTGAGGTGGGACATGGACAGGGCACGGGGGTCTCATATGGGGGTCTCACCCTGGCGGGGTGGGGATGTTGAGGGGATGGAGGGGACGGGGAAARRGAGAGGATGGAGATGGAGGGGACGGAGGGGRYGGAGGGTCACCCGTGRRAAAGGGGGTGGCAGCAGGGATAGGGGCTCTGCTCCCACCGCGTCCCCCTCCCKGCGCTCGGAGGTTCACRGGAGCACAAAYCCCGCTCCTCACCTCARYCCTSACCTCCTCCCAGCMCTTCCCTCCCCAYCGTTTCCCGAAAATCCCCCCCGGTCCCCGWCTCCATCGCTCCGGGGGGCCGGCGGCGCCGGGCTCGCCCCGTTTCGTAAGCGGGGCCGGGTGCGCGGGAACGCGTGCGCGGGGCGTGGGATGAGTTCAGCCTCTTGGCGCCGTTCCCTGGATCCCATCCCTGGAAATGTCACTGGAAACTCTGAATGGGCCGGCCCCGCTCCAGAGCGGGGAGCGCTGGGGGGGCCGCGCACCCCGAGGGGGGGACCGGGGCACACGGGGACCCAACGCCGGCGAGGACGGTGCCTCCCGACCCTCCCCGGGGGATGCTCTCGGGGGGTTCTCCCCGCCAGCCCCCCCGGGCCATGCGCTGAGGCCCCCCCGCTCCTTCTCCCGGCGAAGTTCGTGCCGTGAATTTTTCTTCCCTGCCTCTCGCAGCTCCGTCGCGCTCGTCCCGGGGCTCCCCAAAACTCCGGCGCTTCCCGGGGGTCCCCGTTGGCACCGGCCAGGAGGTAAGAGCTGGCTGGGGGGGCCGGCGAGGAGGGGGTGACCCAGGGGASCCCCGGGGACAAGTTTTGGGGGACACTGCGAAGGAGGAGAAGGATGGGGCCGAGCCCCGTGTGGGCGCTGCGCTGGGAATGGCGCGCAGGTTTTTGGGGTGCCCTGGCGGGGATGGGAGCCTCCACCGCACTTTCTGCGCCTCGGGGCACACCCTTCCCCGTTCCTCAGTTTCCCCACGGGGGTGATGAGCGTTAATTACAGCCTTGGGGCTGCGGAGCCTCCGGCGGTGCGGGGAACGGGGAGCCGGGGGGGTCCCCAACCCGATTTTGGGGGTCCCACACCCACAGGACACCGTGCTGGGCTGGCACCACCCCGACAGCGCCTCCGTCCACCCCGTTTGAGGCGGGGTCTGGCCGTGCTGGGCACCTGCGTGGGGACGGAGACGAGGACGCAGGTGTCCCTAAAAGCCCCCGGGCTGGTCCCGGGAGCCATCCCGGTGTCGGGAGCCCCTCCGGGGGTCCCGTCCCCCCCCAGCCGCCCCCTCCCGGTCCGTGCTGAGTCACAGCATCGCCCTCCCGGCGGGCGGTGCCGGGCTCGGCCGCTCGTTCCCGATTCCTCGTCCCTCCGTCCCCTCTCCCTCCCTGTTTGCGCTGCAGGGCGGGGAAATATTTCTGCCCTGTCGTGTTCCTGGCACTGGCAGCGCTCCCGGGCTGGCGATGCTGCTGCCGCCACGTGCCCGGRCGGGCGGGCACCGAGCCGGGCTGCCGGGGCCAGGGGAACGGGGCGCAGCCATCGCCCCGACCCGCTCCGGGCGTGTTTTCCCCGATCCATCCTGCACAGCCGGGGAGGGTGGGCTGGATCGGCTGGAGAAGGAGCTGCGGAGCCGTGCCAGGGCTGGTTCCGGAGCGCACCGCGAGGCTCTCTGAGATGGGCACGGTGCCACCGTGGTCGGGGTTGGGGTCGTTGTCACCCCGCACGTGGTGTCCGCTGCGCCTCTGAATTACAGCGGGGGTGGGTTTGGGGGTCCTCAACCTCTCTGGAAAAGCCTGGGAATGCCCAGAAAGGACACGGAACCCCAAGAACTCAGCTGCTTCTCCCACAGGAACCGGCAGCGACCKCCGCGGCCCCAGCCCGGCTCCCCCCGGCCATGGCGGGCCGGCTCCCGCACCCCGACCCCGGCCCGGCYCTGGGCACGGAGAGCGTCCCCCGCCTGCAGCCGCCTCCGCAGGTGTCCCCGCAGCACACGGTGACACGGGTGAGTGGCTGTCACACGCCGGGGCACTCGGGGGGCTTCACCCTCCATCCCTTTGCGCCGCCCCTGTGCCAACCCTTCCCCGTGCCACAGGTGCCCGTCATCCGCCACCGCGGCTCCAACACCCTCAACTTCCACTTCCACGACGCGGAGAGCCCCGGCGCGGCTGAKTCTGGCAAGGGAGCTCCCAAAAACTCAGGTAAAGCCCTGATCATCCTTGGGGACACCCCTGGGGGCTCCCCCGAGTGATGCTCCCCCGAGTGATGCTCACCTTGTCCSCAGTGAACGATTGGTACCAGACCTGGCCGGCCAAGGAGGCGAAAGCCCCCGGTGCCCCGGTGCCAGCCCATCCCTCGCCCAGCCCCAGGGCTGCCCCCACTTGCCCGCGGCCACCGGGCTGGTCGGCCACCTGGACCAAGGACAGCAAGCGGCGGGAGAGGCGCTGGGTGAAGTACGGTGGCATCGGGCCCGTGGACGAGACGGGGATGCCCCTGGCATCGCGCTCGGTGAGTGGGGGGCGCGGGGCGGGGGTGTCACCCCWCTGTCACCCCCTCACCGCCCCAACGTGTCCCCGCAGAGCGTCGACAGCCCCCGGGACTGGTACCGSAGCATGTTCCGGCAGATCCACCGCAAGCTGCCGGGTGAGCTCCGCTGTGCGGGKGTGGCGCGGGGTGGCACGGGCTGGCACCCGCTCACCTCCTCCATCCTCAGAGCCCGACTGGGACAGCCATTCCTGCCCCGCCACCGGGCCCCCATCRCCCGCCAGACCGCGGCGGAGGGGGTCAGCACCGGCCGAGCCCCCCGGAATGCCCAACGGGATGGACTGGTGAGTGTGGCACCGGCACACACGGTGCCCTGTGTGTGTAGGACCCCCAAAATCG